AACTTAAAATAATAAGCAGCATTTTACGGCGCGCTATGCATGGGGCCGCCTTGTGGGGTTTCCCGACATGTCGTTTCAGTAAATTAAAGGGTGTTTCATGTTGTCGTTGCTGTGAACCTTCTTAATACCTTGGAAAATGCCGTTTAATACTTTTTAATAGCCATAATTTTCGCTAAATTGATTTATCAACTTTTAATACTTTTTAACCCTCCTGTTGTCCTGGGATCATTTTTGACACCAGAGGGCACAAGGTGCATAGTAATCGGGAGGAAATTACGAGGGTTAAGACCCCGCGGACACCCTGTACTCTGAATAATCGACAGACCCTCCTGCAAGCAGATTTCATAAAGATCATTTTATTTTAGAAAATAGTACCAATGTTGGTTTCAAATCTTGAGAAAGAAAATCAGCGTAGCTTAATGCCACTGGTGAGGATATAGGTATTTTATTTTTGTTGTGGGATCAGGCCATCAGAAAAAACTCATACCCTTGTGTATATGTCAAAATGCACAGGGCTGCGCTGCGACACGATGCGTGTGGATTCCAGGCAGTTAAAGTAAGGCTGACAGGTGTACAGGAAACTTGGCACTGCAGCTGCAAGAGCCTCCCTCTCTAGAGGACCCTGTCTGTAAAAACACACAAATACATACAAATAGCAGAAACACCAAGGTTACAATTGAGCCTTTATCAATAGCCAGGACCATGCCCCCAGTCATCTTCTGTTGTTGTTCATGTTTGACAGTAGCTATGGGCTCAAGCATCACCATCTAAATGAGACATCTTACATGCTTTTGTTTTCAGTTTCTAGCCTCAGAGCCCTAATTCCAGATATTTACAAAGACACGAAACTATGTGAAATTGCATCGTCACTTTTAAATAAACAAATGTATTTAAATACCCATTGACGAGGCAGTCATGCAAGTCATCAGCTTTGCTCATGAGGACCGGCAGCTGCAGCTCGATGGCCTGGAGGCTCCTCTCCATCCACCTGATCTCTGCACAGCTGCAGGCTGCATGCTCTCCACATAGGGGCGCCAGAGCCACAGGCTCTGACTTGGTTGTCAGGGGCTCCTCCACCTCTAATGAATGCACGGTATCAGACAAAGCAAAAACACAACATGTACTCTAACTCTCTTATTCTCATTTAATTTCAAGAATACTAATAACTGGAACATTAAGCCGAAGAGGGGGTTAAGTACTTCTGTAACGAGAATAAAAACATCAACAGTGAATGACAGATGAAATTAAATAATAGCCTACACACAGGGGTGTAAAGAAACTAAGTAGATGTAGAGTACTTTCCTTGAGAATTAACATGTGTTGCTACTTTGTGCTTCTACCCCACTACAATGCAGAGGTAAATAGTGAACTTTTACCCCACTACATTTATGTAATACATTTGCCGTGGATTAATAATGTGAAATATTTAATCAACACTTAAATAAGACTTAAATACAACCTGGAGTAAATTCACAAGCTACCCTGCAGAATACAAAGTAATTCAAACTAGCAACAGCTTTGATAAACACTTTAATGCATCAATTATTATGTCAACACATATAATATGTTATTCTGAAAAAGGCACATTTGCATAATGAGTAATTTTACTTTTGGTATATTTTAATGCTAATACTTTTACTTGAGTAACATTTTCAATGCAGGACTTTTAATTGTAACAGAGTATTCCTAAACGGTGGTACTTCTACTTTGATCCGAGTACTTCTCCCACTTCTGCCTACACATCCATGTTTTATGGCATTAGTTAATGGGAATGTATTAGACCTCCATGTCCGGTATCTTCAGGAGTCCCCGGGCAGTCTGACTGCTTCTCCCTGCTCATGTCCTCCTGCAGGCCGCCACACTCATGTTCCCCTGTCGGTGAATCGGAAGGGACCTGGACCTGAACTTCAACATCTCCCATTTTATCTGCGGTTGGTAAGTTTGTGTTTCTTGGGAAACCTGATGAAAATAAAACGCTAAGTTAACTTCTCATTTTCGAGCGGTTATAAACTGAAAGACCTGTCATCCCGGTTAACTCACCAAACAGCGTTGATGCTAACTAGCTAACTGTAGCAAATATTTAATCTGAAATATTAAACTCTTCATTTATTTAATGTAATGTTTTATTACTTTATATGTCTACCGACATTTTTTCTATACATAATAAATGATGTTCATATGTTCTTGAATAAAGTTAAAATGAACTAGCTGACTTTAGCTTACAGCTAGGAACAGACTAAAGTTGTAGCACAGAAACAACTCGAGATGTCGACTACATACCATTCGGCTGGGTTTTTTACCGAATTACAAAATCATAAATATTTTATAGCGCTGTAGACAGTTTAATTAAAAATGTAATAATTAACTTTCGCTACGTAGCTAGTTAAGCTAACAGTTACGTCGTTACCCGATCCGTACCGGAAACTCACCGACAGGTGAATAGATGCACGGCGGCGAATAGGCCGCTACTTCCCGTGAAGTATGTCGAAGCAATTGACGGCGCTTTTCTGGGTTACAAATAATGTTATCTTTGGTTTGATTAGTTGTAAAATAAAATACTTAAATGGGTCCTTATTCAAATAAGTACTTTCTCTCTGATTTTGGTCAAGAATGTCTAAAATATTGAGCTAATTTCGTCATTTATTAACAAAGAAAAGCTAGTTAAAGGTAGGGTAGGTAATTCACTTCAGAAACACTTTTTGTTATATTCCATGGAATGCTCTTAACATCCCGATAGCAATGAATACATTAAATGCTTTGACAATAAATATATACAAATATTTCATCAGTGGAAGCCGTGGCGCTGTAAAAAGCACGGCCGGCTCAGATAATTGGATGGCCTACCTGCCAGTGTCAACTAGTGATGTGTCG